GGGGGCGCTGATCGGTAATCAATTGACTGCATCGATACGGAGACACGACACAAACACACTAAACTAATACACACACTGAAGTAAAACAGAAACACAAAACTAACAGACAAAATAACAGCACACACACACACAAACGAGCACAACGATGATAAATAATTTCCTGAGGTACCCTACCAACGGGATCGATAAAGTTCTATCGAATCTATCTAAACTAACACAAACATGTGACACAAACCCCACAACACATAAAGTAATGCACACACATAAAACCACGACCCGGACACACACACTGGTTGTGTGTGTGTGTGTGTGTGTGTGTGTGTGCTGCTGTGACGCTCCTACACACCAGGACAACACACGTTTCACTGCTGTTGTGTTTTTGTGCTGCTGGTCTGTGGTGTGACCTGTGGGTCAGCCTGGTTCTGATATGAGCAGATTTTCTGGGTCGCTGGTGGAACAGTTCATTCGTTCTGTGGAGCTGCTGGTTCTGCTGGTTCTGCTGCTGGTCGGGTCCTGAACACAGACGGCTGGTGTCTCCTGTGGGGCAGTAAATGAGGGGAACACAGAGGAGCCGGAGGCGAGTAGAGAAAATATCTGAGGTTTATTTTGTAGAAAAGCGGAGCGTGGAGCCTCCGACTGCTTCACACCAACACCACTCCGTGGATCATTTTACAGCAAAAACAACTTCAGATGTGCCGCCTGCTGCTGCTTCAGCACATGAGGACGGGTTCTGGAGCACGCTGCCGCCTGCCCTCGTCAGACAGAACTCCTGACGACGGGCTGCACTGATGCAGGTCCAGTTTGTGCCCAGCTCTGTGCTGTGGACACTCAGACGCTGGACGTCCCTTTGGCCACTAAACCTGACAACAGGAACCCGCCGTAGGTTCTGCTTCTTCGGCTTCGGGCCTGAAGGTCGACGTGGACAAAATTCATTCATGTTTTTGAAGCATTTTACAGCAAAAGTCCATCACAGCAGCTTCCTCTTCAGTTTATGAGACAATAACAGAAGAAAACATGTGAGTGATGCCGGTGTGCCGGCTGCAGCTTCAGGGACAGTTCGTACACTTTAAACCTGAAACTCAGCTGCTGTCCGTGTTCATCACAAAACTAAAACAAGCTGAATTTGGAGTTCATGTTCAAAGGACGCTCACAGAAACGGTAACATTAGATTTTAACTATCAAACTGTTTTCAGCAGCAAAACGTTTTTCATTTGTTCCTTTACAGCAAAACTTATAAACATAAATAGGTTTAAATAAGGAGCAGGACCTCCAGCTGACGAGGCCACAGGCAGCAGCGTGTCCCCGGAAACCACAGGCAGGCGACAGCAGGAAGGTTAAGACTTCATCTGACAGCAACCAGTAACCAATAATCAATAAGCGATCAGCTTCATCGACACTGAAGACAGTAAACAAACAAACAGTGATGTACTGCAGACAGAGAGAGGCTGGCTGACAGTCGAACAGAAACGAGTTCCAACGCCACAGGACCAGTGTGTGTCCACGTCTGTCTGCGTTTGTGGGGACGAGGCCAGACCTGGTCCAGGTTCACGTCAACCAGGGTCCTCACAAACACAGATGGAGCGGGGTGTGTGTGTGTGTGTGTGTGTGTGTGTGTGTGTGTGTGGTGGGCGGGGTCATGAAGGCGACGTGCCCCGCCCCCTCCATGCCACAGGCTCAGCTCCGGGGTCAGAGGTCATCACATGCCCTGCCTGATGCTCTGGATGATCTGGAAGATGGCTGCAACACACACACACACACACACACACACACACACACACACACACACACACACACACACACACACACACACACACACACACACACACACACGTCAGAATAAAAATTAGCAAAACATCAAAATACGACCATGAATCAGAAACAGAAACTGTCAGATGTGAACTTTCCGACGGTCCCTGAACTAACCGTGAGTGAAACAATCCAGAGTGAACCTGAGAATCGAGACACGTCAGAGGCATCGTGTTGGTCTGCAGCTCGACTCGCTGACACCAGCTGAGGGCTGAAGCTGGCCGATGGATCGACCCACCAAACTGTCCTCTTTGTGTTTCTACCAACAAGGCTTCAGACGCCTCCACCCACAGACACAACCTTGACAAGGAGCTCTGCAAAATATCCAAGCACCTCGAAACAGTGTCCACACCCTGAAAGCTTCTTCAAAGACCTCAAAATCCTGCCTTAAAACCTCCTGAAAGACCTGGAAAACCTCCTTAAAGACCTTAAAATCCTGCCTCAAAATCTCAGAAACCGTCTGAAAAACCTCAAAAACGTCTCAACGTCTTAATAATCTCCTTAAAGACCTAAAATATTTCCTTGACTATCTCAAAAATCTTGTTGAAGACCTCAAACATCTCCTTAAATGTCTAGAATTCCCTAAAAAATTCCTTGAAGTTGTCAATAACCTCCCTTAAGATCATAAAAACCTACTTAAAGACTTCAATAACCTTCAGCAAGACCTCAAAAACCTTCTGAAAGACCTCAAACTCCTTGAGAACCCTGTGATAGATCTCAAAAAACTCCTGAAAGATCTTGAAAATCTCCTGAGACCTCAAACTCCTCCTCAAAGACCTCAAGAAGCTCCTGAAAGCCTCAAAAATCTCATTGACAACCTCAAACATCTCTTTAAATGACCTCAACAACTTCCTCAAAGACCTCAAATATCTCCTGAAATGTCTTGAATCATTCCTTGAAGTTGTCAGTAACCTCCCTTCAGACCTACTTAAAGACCTTGAAAACCTTCTGAAAGACCTCAAACTCCTTGAGAACCATGTGAAGGATCTCATAAACCCCCTGGAAGACCTTGAAAATCTCCTGAGACCTCAAACTCCTCCTCAAAGACCTCAAGTATCTCCTTAAAGTCATCAACGCCCTCCTTGAAGAGCTCGTCTGACATCCGTGAACTTCAACGTGAGACAGAGCTCTGCAGGACAACCTCAACCTGATCAGAGCTGCTCATCACATCTGGATCCTCCTGAGAAACTCACCTGAACCACACACCACGAAGACGAAGAGCGCGAGCAGCCACGGGCCCACCGGAGATTTGTCGTCATTTACTGGTCGCTGAAAGAAAACAGAGAAGCATCAGCGTGTGTGACGGCGGGCTGGTCACGCTGCCACGTGGTCGATCTGCACGTCTCCTTCTCATGAACTCAGCATGTTGGAGTCACAGGCCTGCTGAGGCTCACCACACATCACAGACCAAACCAACTGCTGAGTCCAGTTCACACACAACACTGGTTCATGTTGGTGTCGTCTCCCCCGTCCAACGTCACGTCTTCAGAACCCTCCCAGAACCCAAACGTGTGGAGTGAGTTAACGACGAGGAACAGCAGCAAAGCCTCGTGTGTGTGAAGGCCCACCACCACCTATGTGGCACCTCCGCGGAAAAAGGTTCATTCATCTGGGTTTAATTAATATTAATCCATTCATAGGTCCAGAGCAGCAGCTGCATCGGGTTTACGGCGACATGCAATACCTGGACGGGATCAGAACCAGAACCACAGCCTTTACTGTCGTTATACAAAAACCATAAAGGTGCATTCAGCAAAGAAGCAGTTCTGAACTAACCAAAGAAAAAATCAACAGAGGTGTGTAATAAATAAAGTGACTAAAAATAGAAACACACGATAATTTACAATGAGCAGCAAATAAACCAATGTGCCCAGTCCACCCGGTTTTCCTTTCAGGTCCGGACCTCCTCAGTCTGTCCGCTCCAGTGATGCTGCTGTCAGGGCTCTGCTCCACAGCTGCCTGCCACCAAAGTCCATTCACAAATCTGCACATTTACTGCTGCGCCCGGTCTGCAGAGACAAAAGCTGCATAAAGTAAGAGAACTAATCTCCAACGGAACCGTCTGGAGGCCTTCTTCAATCCCTCTAACGTATAAATCAAAACTTATTTCAAACACGCTGGACTTCAGCGTCTAACCTGGGCCACCTGGGCCACCTGGCCTCCGCCCACTGCAGTGTTGACCCCGCTCACAACATGCGGGGATGGGACGGAAAAGAGGAGAAATCCACCCAACAAGCAACAATCCGAGTTTTATAAGCGAGCCGATGAGAAACCCGTTTGAGAATCTTTAACATTAGCGCTGCACATGTATGTTTTCAAGGGTTTAGCTTTATGGACACATACAATCACGTCAATGTCCCGGATTTCTGACCGCAGTCTGGCTCCATCTCTTTCCTCACACATTCACCGGTGGATAAATACGCGCCACCGGCCAGAACTGGACTATTTTCCGCCCTTGTACAAATTACAGTAATATTTAAATGCGCTCCTGATTTAGACGTGCAGTTTTAGCTTTCGCTGCTGAAGCTAAAGTTAGCTAGCGGCTAGCTGCACCGCTGCTTCCTGGACCCCGTTCTCACCAACAAACCCGAGTTACTGCTCGATTACCGGCCTTTTAAAACACATTTGCCGCACATCGGACCGGCTCCAGCCGCTCATCGGACCGGCTCCACAGAGAAACCAGTCGACGCTAGCTGGTTAGCCGTTAGCCTAGCTGTCAGTACCGATGTTTTCTGGACGTGTCCCCGCTGTGTGATCGTCTTGCTGTGCCGCTCGTTTGCCACTTTCATCCGCTGCACCGCCGACATGTTTCGGGTTTAATCACTGTTCCAGAACCAGGAGGACGGAGGAGCCGGGAAGAACCGGGAGCCGCAGAGAGAGGCGCGCTGGAACCTCAGAAAACGTCCCGCAGGAGGAGAGTCTGAGCCGGGTTCGTTTCCGTGTTGTCGGTCCGAGTGGATGCTAACAGCTAGCTCGCTGCTAGCTGAAGCTGACGGACTCGTCACGTGACAGGGAAGAGTCCTTTCAGAGCCAGACTCCGTTCACAAATTTGGGACATTAATGTAGTTTTACGTGTCCGCAAAGATACAGACGATAAAAATATGAGTTGACGCGTTTATCTGAATGTATTACAAACGGTCCTTAAATCGGCTGGTATATAACTCACTGATTATTGCTTGTTGTTTGGATTTTTAACCTTTTATATTCTATCCTGCTGCTGTTCTCCGGCAACGAGAAAACCAGGTGCATGTCACAAACGGTACAAGTTTAGCACTTTAAAATAGTATATATGAGCAAGTTAAAAAAGAAGTCACATTTTTTAAAGATTTAGGGATTAGGGATGAAACATAAATATATTTCTTGTGTGTATTATTCTTAATTCTTTAGATTTTTCAGCTGCTAAATGCAGTTCACTGTAATGGTGTTTGTGACCAGTAACGGCCTTGAATCTTGAACCTGACAGGCTCCAGCATCAATGCATTGACATAATACCCAATAATAACAATCGATCAGATTTATACAGCGCTTTTCTAGACACGCAAAGATGCTTCACACTGTCAGTTATTGGTGGTAGCTACAGTTGTTGCCCCGGGGCAGACTGACAGAGGCCTGGCTGCCATCCTGCCCTCCGACCACCTCAACACTCCATCCACACCAGGCAGGTGGAGAAGCGTGTTGCCCAAGGACACGACCACCATGACACAGGTTCCACCCGCTCCACCTGCTGAGCCAGAACCGCCCGGTCCTGGACAATAAGCAGCTTCAAGTCCAGTTTCTGAGCTTCAGCGTGTTCCTGTGAATAATCCTGATCAGTGATGTGAGTGCACCGTGTTTGATCTATTGATCGCTTTGTGATTGATTGGTTCAGACTGAACAGACAACAACAGCCCAGTGAAGTTTCTCTGCAGTTTATTGTAGCCTGAAGTCGGTCCACATGTCAGCACACACACACACACACACACAGAGACACACACACACAACAGACACACACGCACACACACAGAGACACACACACACAGACACATACACACACACACAGACACACACGCTTGCATGTTTAGCACATGGTCGTCTCACACACACACACACACACACAGACACACACACACACACACACACAGGTCTGGCTGAGTTGTGGCCAGGTGTCAGAGGTCATTAGTAGGATGTCTACCTGCGTCTACCTCACTACAGGTGAGTGTCTGCTTCACTTCCAACATGGCGTCTCTGCCAGGTGACCCTGGAGGTCAGAGGTCAGGCAGCGTCAGCTCGCGTCACCTGCAGTGACATCACAAGTCAACCTGACGGCCGGGTCGCGGTGCGGCGGGACTAGAGAGCGTGCGGGAGGCGGTTGCCGTGGTGATGCCTCCTAACAGCCCAGCCCGCTGATGGAGCCGATGCGGTCCATCTTCATCCCGAAGCAGCCCCGCCCCCCCACCATGGACTTGCGGCTCCGCCTCCTCATCTTGTTCTGCCGCTGCAGGAAGTCCAGGAAGAACCGAGGGACCGCCTCCCGCCTCCCGCCAACCAATCCCCTCGCAGCACCGTGGGAGGGCGACGAGGAGGCGGGGCGTCTACCCGACCCCTCTGTGATGTCATCAGAGGTGGGCGGGGCCAAGATGAGAGACGAGAGATGAGAGCCAAACAGAGAGTCTAAGACCTGCAGACAACATGGTCATCAATATCAGTGATCAGTGATCAATATCAATATCAGTGAAAGCAGCAATCAGCACTCAGTGAAGATGAAGAAGAAGGTGATGATGATGATGATGATGATGATGATGATGATGATGATGAAGAAGGGCTGCAGGTGTCTCAGTGGTTAGCACCGTGACCTCACAGCTAGAAGGTCGCCGGTTGGCGTCCCGGTGAGGACACCCGGGATCTTCCTGCGTGGAGTCTCCATGTTCTCCCCGTGCAGCGTGGGTTCTCTCCGGGTTCTCCGGCTTCCTCCCACAGTCCAGAAACATGCTGAGGTTAATTGGTGATTGTAAATTGTCCGTAGGTGTGAATGTGAGTGTGCTTGGTTGTCTGTCTCTAAGTGTAGCCCTGTGATGGACTGGTTACCTGTCCAGGTGAACCTGCCTTCACCCTGAGTCAGCTGGGATAGACTCATCATGAAGAAGATGATGAAGATGATGATGATGATGGTAATGATGAAGGTCTCCCACCTGTTTGTTGTCTCGCTGAGGTGAAGGTCTCGTCTCCACGGCGACGGTGAGGAAGAGGAGGAGCAGAGGAATGAATGAGGGGGAAGAAGAAGAAGCGGCCATCTTTGTTTGGAGGAAAAACAGAAACGATTAAACCAATGATTGGCTGAGTGGAGACAGTATAGACACACAAACAAACACACGTAGGAGTCCAAGAGCCTTTGTCTAATGGTTGTGTTTTGCTCCGTGGATGTTTTTCATTGTTTGATTCTGCATTTATCTACAGCTTAGTTCTATTTCATACTTAACTTAAAAGAGAACAAAAGCATTTCTAACGACAGCGTTTCCTTCACAGGTTTCTCTGTTTTGATTCTTTGTTCAGTCTGACTTCAGAGGCTTCGTCTGAGAACAAAGTGTCCACAGAAGGACTGAACTACACACTGTGCACCGACACCACCGCGAGTGATTGATTGATTATTGATCATCAGCAGCAGCAGCTTGATTGATTAGAATCAGCAGAATGACCAGAAAACCATCAGTGAAGGAGTTTGATGTGTTTGACTGAACTTGTTCTGACGTGAAATTCTTTAAACTGGTTCAATGTGACTGTTTTCTAACATTAGATCAGATTTATCTACATTTTAAAATATAAACATCTTATTTTGATTATTTAAATACGTTTGCTGAGACTTTTAAAATAAATAACATCAGATTGGACAAAAAATTAAATGATATTTTACTGTAATTAGATTTATTAAAAATAAGAATTTGGTCAAATAAAACTGGATTTTTAAATAAACTAAAATTAAAATGAGATTAAATTAGATTATTTTTTAATTCAATTAAATTGTATTAAAAACAAATCAGATTAAACTAATGTGTTCAAGGATTAGATTTTAACCTTTAAGTACTGAAACACATGATTAAAATATACTTTATTGTAGCTTAATGTTGGTTTTCAATTACATTAAATTATATTTTCTAAAAATGTTCGTTTTTCCAAAATGTCTTTTTATTAAATGAAATGAGAATAAATTTATATTTTAAACTTCGATGAGATGAAGCGATGCTTTAAATTTAACAGGTTGAATTCAGTTTTTAAAATCTGCATGATGTTGGATTAAAATATACTTTTCAATTTAAATGAGTCCATTTGTTAATTAGATTAAGTCTGACGATCAGAGACGTTATTGATCCCTGAGCAGCAGTACACCTGATCAATAACAGAAGTAAAGCAGCACAACTTACTGAGCACCAGAAATATTCCAACAACAACAAAATAAAAACTCCAGAAAAGGTTCTGCTGGTCGTTGATCGATCGATCGGTTCTGTCCAATAAAAGCTATTGATTATTGGTGTCACATCAACTCTTCTGTCCTGCTTCCTGTCAGGACGACGGCGTCTCCGTGCCGACGCAGGACGGCGAGTTTATACGGCTCAGGGTTGTGATGTCACACATTCTTACTGCTGTCGCCCCTGACGACAGGC